GCCTCAAGTTGCCCCAGGGGAGGTTTCAGTTGTCCCTGAGGAACAATTTCTTGCCCTGGAGGGTTGCCCAGGGCTGTGCCAGGCTGCCCAGGGCAGTGGTGGAGTCCCCACCCCTGGAGGGGTTCCCAAGCCGTGGAGATGTGGGGTGAGGGACACGGGGCAGTGGGGACCTGGCAGGGCTGGGGGACAGTTGGACTCGATGCTCTTGAAGATCTTTTCCTCCCTCAGCCCTTCTGTGATTCTCTCTGTCTGTCTCCTTCCAGGGCCACGCCATGATCGTGGAGCTCTACCCTCAATAAGGGGACAGGGGACCAGAACTCGTCCGTCGTGTGCCTGGTAAAGCAACTTCAATGCACTAAGAAACTCCCACACAGGGTCCTTCTCAGGAAGGAGTTTTGGTGGCCTTCGTAAATACCTTTTGCTCCTCGGCTGGTAATTTTTAACTCATCCACACGCTCCAAGGAAGGTTCTTGGAGGTGGATGAGTTCCTGTGGCTCTTCGTGTCTCCAGCGTCCTTGTAACCGGTCTGATCCCTGCTGTAACTCCTCACTGGGCAGGATCTCTGCCCCTGCAGAAGGATGATTCTGTGGAGACAAGGAGAACGTGAAGTCCTGGAGGGGGGTGGGCTGTGGTGGGAGTTCCTGGGTCCTTGGAGGGAGTCACGTCTGTCTTCAGCACCAGCTTCAACCCCAGCTGGCCAACCTGGTTTGCCAGGAGGGGGTTGGCTGCACCGTGTCCCAACGGCATCAGGACTGGGAAACTGCTTCTGAGAAAAGCACGTCGCTGACGTTGGCCACAATAAATCAGGATAAAACCCCCACCTGGGCTCTTCTCTTGCCTGCCCCTCAACTGAGTTATGGTTGGGGCAGTTTTTTCTGGGGTGTTTGTGCTCTGAGGTGACACCAGGTGTCTGCTTATGGACAGAGCTGCTCTGAAGCTTGCCCACATCCCACCTTGAGCTCCAGAGTCCCAGTGAATCTCCAAAATACCTTTATTTGGGCCCATTTTGGGCACTCTTGGGTCTTTAGGGACCTGGGGGTTCTGGTGGACAGACGGCTGAACATGAGCCTGCGTGTGCCCAGGTGGCCAAGATCATCAGTCACAACCATCAACCCAACACTCCCATGAGCACTAAACCATGTCCTCACGTGCCACGTCCACACGTTTGTTGAACCCCTCCAGGGCTGGGCACTGGGGGGGCCACAGCTGGAGCACTGGGGTCAGGTTTGGGCACCACAGAATCAGAAGGACCTTGAGGGGCTCGAGCAAGTCCGAAGGGCAGCAAGGCTGGTGAGGCCTGGGGAACAAGTCTTGTGAGGAGCAGCTGAGGGACCTGGGGGTGTTCAGTGTGGAGAAGAGGAGGCTGAGGGGAGACCTTAGTGCTCTCTACAACTCCCTGACAGGAGAGTCTCTTCCAGGTTACTAGTGATAGGCCAAGAGGAAATGGGTTCAAGTTGTGCCAGGGGAGGTTTTGACTGGATGTTAGGAAGAATTTCTTCCCTGAATGAGCAGTGAGGCCTTGGCCCAGGCTGCCCAGGGAGGTGCTGGAGTCCCCAGCCCTGCAGAGGTCCAAAAATCCTGTAGATGTGGCACTTTGGGACATGGTTCAGTGGTCATGGGAGTGTTGGGTGATGGTTGGATTTGATGGTCTTAAGAGTTCTTTTTCAACCTTCATGATTCTGATGTTCCTTGGGCACCTGTTTTCCACTCTTTTGGTATCTGGTGTGTTGAAAATCCAGAAGTGGGGACAGTGCAGTGCTGGTGCAGAACCAAGTCCTTGATCAACCTCCAGGGTGCAGGCTTGTGGCCTTGCTCCCAGCATTCTGGGAAGGTGACACAGTTGTTCTTGCCCTTCTGGTTAACATTCTGGTGATTTGTTCCTCACTCATCTCTGAGGTCGTTAGCTAGGGGGCTGGTGTTACTTGCCAGGAAATTGAGACTCTTCTGAAAACAACCCAAGAAGGACATGGACCTCTTGGAGTGGGGCTAGAGGAGGCCGTGGAGATGATGTGATGGCTGGAACCCCTCTGCTGGGAGGACAGGCTGAGAGCTGGGTTTGTTCAGCCTGGAGAGAAGGCTCTGGGGAGACCTTGCAGCCTTCTGGTATCTGAAGGGGGCCTACGAGAAACCTGGGGAGGGAATTTTACAAGGGCTGGTAGTGCCAGGATGAGGGGGAATGGCTTCAAACTGGAAGAGGGGAGATATAGAAATGAGGAGGAAGTTCTTCACTCTGGGGGTAGTGATAGGATGAGGGGCAATGGTTTCAAACTGGAAGAGGAGAGATTTCAATAAGATAGAAGGAAGAAGTTGTTCCCTATGAAGGTGGTGAGACACTGGCACAGATTGCCCAGGGAAGCTGTGGGTGCTCCATCACTAGAGGTGTTCAAGACCAGGTTGGATGGAGCTCAGAGCAACCTGCTCTAGTGGGAGGTGTCCCTGCACATGGCAGGGGGTTGGAACAGGATGATCTTGAAGGTCCCTTCCAACCCAAACCGTTCCATGATTCTATGAACCTGCAGTAGCCTTTTTAAGCAAGAAGAGGCTTCTGGAACCTCCCAGCTGCTGCCCAGCCCCACAGTTCTGGAGGCAGACCCGAGAGAAGGGATGGGTGCGACCGGGGGGGCTCTTATTAATTCCTGGTTATAAATCCTGTGCAATGGTTTGAAACTAAGAGAGGGAGATTTAGACTGGAGAGAAGGAAGAAACTGTTGACACTGAGGGTGCTGAGCCCCTGGCCCAGGCTGCCCAGAGAGGTGGTCGCTGCCCCATCCCTGGCACCATCCCAGGGGAGGTTGGCCGGGGCTCTGAGCACCCTGCTCTAGCTGCAGATGTCCCTGTCCCTGCAGGGGGTTGGACTCCATGATCTTTAAGGTCCCTTCCCACTGGATTCCACGTGGCACAGGGTGCAGGTGGGACCCACCTGGGTGAGGGGAGAAGGGGCCTCTGGTTCTGTCTGTCTGTTCTGAGCTGTGCCCGGGGCTTGGCCGGGTGCGGTGCCCGTGTCCTGGGCAGCTCCCACTGTGGATCATCTTCACCCCGATCTGGGGGATTTAATCCCCCTGCCCCCAGGCCCTTGGGTGGGGGCAGCAGCTCCGTGGGCCGTCACAGGTGGTGGCTGGGTCCCTACATGCAGGGCAGGGCAGGGCTGAGCCCTTCAGGATGTGACTCATCCTTCAGGCTCATCCTGCTGCTCCTGCCTCTCCCACGGCCTTGCCAGGATCCTCACCGGGACCCTGCTGGGATCCTCATCAGGATCCTCACCTGAACCTCCTCACCACTGCCCAGGTGAAGCTGCTCAGTGCCTCTGGAGGTGCTGCGGGCATGGGGGTGGTCTGGCTGCAGCCCCCAGTTGGGCAGATGGAGGAACCCCTGGAGAGCTCCTCCAGCAGCTCCTTCAGCGACTGGGGCACGGGCTGGGCAGGCCTGGCAGCGCTGCTGTGGGGGCTGGCACGGGGCTGTGCCCGCAGAGGCAGGGCCAGGACAAAGGTTCTTCTGCTGGTGTTGGCAGCGGGGTGGAGGAGGAAGAGGAGGAGGAGATGGAGTCGGGGAAGGGGTTGGGGCTGGGCTGGGGGAGCTGGGCCGTGCGGTGTCCCCCCAGGGCTCACGGAGGAGGTGGGCACGGG